TTTCCAGAAATTGATAAACGGGAAGGGGTCTTCCCCCGAACCTGTTAAATCTGGGGTTTTTTTTAATTTTTAAAGAAGACTACCCCCATAACGTCTAGATACATTACTAGCTGTATTATATCAGGACTCTGTCGGAGCAATCACCCGAGCTAATTGTATTTGGGTTTTCGACTGAAGCTTGTTGTCCTTTTTGACTTAATTAGTCAATGAATTCAAGTTCAAGTTTCAGTCGTTAATGTAAAACCTCGTGAATGATAATTGAGATGGATGTAGAGTAGAATAGGAGGGACAGAATGAACTATGTGGAAATAGGAGGGTATTTTGTTATAATGACTCTATCGATCCCCCCCCCCCCCCCCCCCCCCCCCCCCCCCATACACGCGTCATTGATTGCACTGATTTTTTTTTTACCATTATCTAGCCCTCAACGAACAAACACAAATAGCTTGATTAATGAAAATTATCAATGAATGACAAAATAATGAATACTGAATATTATCGAGCGTGGGCTGATTATTTTATATCGCAATTGAGAGGTTGAAAGGGTTACTTTGTATTGACCCCAAACCTTTTGCATCTATCGCAATGTCAGAAATGAGTAATATCAACCTCATATTATCAATATAAATAGACATAATTGATCATGAATATAGTAATGACGTTCAAGGTTATCTGACAACTAAGCTAGGTCTATGGTGATACCAAGGGTTAATTGGAGAAAAGGTATATGAGATAAAGAGGGAGGGAGTTGAGAGAAAGAGAGAGAGAGAGAGAGAGAGAGAGAGAGAGGGAGAGAGAGAGAGAAAGAAAGAGGAATACATAGAGAAAGACACAGAGAGAAAGACAGAGATAAAGACAGAAAGACGAACACAGAGAGACATAGAGAGAAATAGAGAGAGAGAGGAAGAAAGTGAGAAAGACAGGGAAAATGACAAAGAGACGGATGGGTAGATAGGGAGAGAGATAGGAGAGAGAGAGAGAGAGAGAGAGAAGAAGAAGAAAACATAAAGATAGACATATAGATAAAAAAAACAGAGAGAAAGACAGAAAGACGAACACAGAGAGAGAAAGACAGGGAGAAAGACAGAAAGACGGATAGAGAGAGAGAGAGAGAGAGAGAGAGAGAGAGAGAGAGAGAGAAAGACGGAGAGAGAGAGAGAGAGAGAAAGAGGAATACATAGAGAAAGACACATAGAGAAAGACAGAAAGACGAACACAGAGAGAGAAAGACAGGGAGAAAGACAGAAAGACGGATAGAGAGAGAGAGAGAGAGAGAGAGAAAGACGGAGAGAGAGAGAGAGAGAGAGAGAGAGAGAGAGAGAAAGAGGAATACATAGAGAAAGACACATAGAGAAAAACAGAGATAAAGACAGAAAGACGAACACAGAGAGACATAGAGAGAAAGAGAGAGAGAGAGAGGAAGAAAGTGAGAAAGACAGGGAAAATGACAAAAAGACGGATGGATAGATAGGGAGAGAGAGAGAGAGAGAGAAGAAGAAGAAAACATAAAGATAGACATATAGATAAAAACAGAGAGAAAGACAGAAAGACAGAAGACGGAAAGAGAGATTGAGAAAAAAAAGAGAAGGAAGACAAGGAAGACAATGGGGAGGTAATGAAAAAAGGAATTGTCCATGACCAAAGGATAACAATATTATTGTGCATCGTAGGGATTTTATTTATGTCAATCGTTACCACGACAACGCAATTTAAGTTCACAATCATACGTGCTTCATTTGTCATCATTTTCTACCAGCCCGCATCTCCCTTGGACCTTCCCTTGCAAAGAGATATCAACAACAACAGAAACAGTAGCCATTGTGCTTTGCTGGATATTGTTAACACAAAGAAGTTGGCTAATTTCATTCATCTTTTGTCTCCTATTTTATGTTTCCTGTAATGACATATAGCGACACCTACTGCCATCGACTGTAGGTGTTAGTATCGGTAGGGATGATGTCTTAATTTTGTAAAACCATTTCAACAAATTCCTTTGGGTATTATACGAAACATTGTAACGGGAATTCTACAGAACATGCAATATTAGGATGGATACATGACTACATGTAACTGTTTCGATTGCTCTTCTTTATGTTATAAACTGTGGTTGCTTTCTTTGCTTTTCTGCACAGTCGCTTATTTGCCACATTTGCATTTTTTAACAAAACAATAGGTACTAGTTGAGCAAAGAATTGCTTCGGCGACAAAAAGCTTTGCAGAATTACCTAATTCCGATGTTTCACAGACCTATCGACACCGGTATAGATTAATTTTGCACAGTTCCTTTGATGTTATTGCTGATTTCATTTCATTGTTTATTGTAGTCCTCTTTTGCATGCGTTATTTGTTTCCAGTAATCACAGCGACATTAATTCATGTATAATGGAATGGCTTTTTCATAAATTATGAGATCACAATCTTCAGGTGTTAAAGAAAACCGTTGGAAAGAAGGTATGTTCATGACAATTGCAGTACGTGTTTTTATTGGAATTCTTATTTTATTTTGACTAACTGTAATCATACTTTTATTGTTTTCATTGTTTAAGAAAAAAATATATTTGTTTGTAATTTTCTCTTTAATAATTATTATCCCGCTCAACATATCCCCACCCACTTTTTGACTCTCATGGTTGCCTATCTCTGTCTCCCCATTACTCTGGAGTATCGACTTCCGTGTGTGTGTGTGTGTGTTTCCCCCCCCCCCCCCCCTCCCCTCTCTCTCTCCCCCCTCTCTCTCTCTCGTTCGATGTCTCCTCCCTCTCTCTCTATCCTTCTCTCTCCCACCCTTCTCCCTGTCTCACTCTATCTTCTCTCATCCTATATCGCTCTCCCCTCCCTTTTTTCTTCTCTTTCCGTCTTCCCAACCCCTTCTCACTCTTTCTTTCGACCTCTCTCTCTCTCTCTCTCTCTCTCTCTCTCTCTCCTTCTCTCTCTCTCTCTTCTCTCTCTCTCTCTCCTCTCTCTCCTTCTCTCGTTATCTCTCTCTCTCTCTCTCTCTCTCTCTCTCTCTCTCTTCATTTTACTTTAGTCTGATCACCCACCCAATATATCATCGATTGACTGCGTGTCTTGTGACGTCAAATGGGGGCGCTAGCGTCTAGGACTCTACGTGCAGCATTCATCATTTGTAACAATGACCCGTACTACATCTTTCTGAATATTTGATGGCACACACCACCAATGATGCATTGTCCATAGTATAGACGAGAAAGATAAATGGCCACAGTATTTTTAAAAGTGACCTTTTCATTTATATTGTGATCTACTACCACCAGTGACCGTAGTCACAATTATTATCGATCGTATATGTTTACTTCAGCTAAAAACACAGAGATAATCATATGAAATTGAAATTCCGACTTCACGGGTTTTTTCATTTTGCTATGTTTGGAAGAAGAAAATATCGTAGTTCTTCTCGAATTCGAGATCACTTATTTAAACTTCATCGTTACGTAACCTCATTATTTCAACAGAATATATTTGTATGATTAATCATTGAAATGATGAAAATTAATATACAACCTCTTTTTAGACGTTGGTACCGCACCTTTAGATTGTTATTCATCATTAAAATGGATTGGCTCGGGCATTAGAAAATTAAAGACTGACTTGTCGGTGAAAAGTTTCTGATTTCGTAATCAAAGACGAAGTTTAGTTCTGGTCATGCGATTGCATTATTAAGATTACAATGTTTGAAGTGATTGGGAAAGGCTAATCATGCAGCAGATAATTATTGGTGTATACTGTGAGGTTTTGGAATCATCAAAATGATAAGAAAATGTCTTGCTAAAAATTACACACACTGAACACAGAAATGTGTGTATCATGGCCATGGGACTGCACAACATGGGCTTGAAACTCCAAACCTGTAGTTGTTACTTGTCATTTTTAGAATATGAGGGCCTGTAAAGAGCCATTCTTTATATATGTTTTCCTATGATACTCGTCCAAACTAACATTCAAAGAAGGAAAAAAATGTTCAAGTAAAGACCAATCATAATATCTTTCTTATTTTTGAGTATCACATATGTCTACGATATTAATGAAATACAATTTCCTACGGGTCATATTCCGTGGAGTCTCCCACTGTAGGTATAGTTCTTTTGGATTAAGCACTATTTGATTAAAGTCTAGTCCTATTTTAGGATAGCTTTAGATAACCAAAATCGGATTAAACATGACACGTGCAGGGAAAGGCCTCAATCATATGATTCATTAAATTGTATAATACACTCTGACCTTTTTGTAAATTAAAACTACATCATCCACAATCTACTTTTGTCATAAAAATAGATGTATACAAAAAACATGTATATATATTTATATATTTGTTATCGTTCTTTTATAGCGAGAACACTATAATAAAATCGTCTGTAAAATATATTGCATAACAATCTTGTCCTGAATTTGAACATAATAGGGCCATTATCATGCCATGTTTCGTTGTCATAAATCATCAATTCGATTTTTTTTTTTTTTTTTTTTTTTTGTTGTTGTTCCTAGTCGCACAATATTTTGATGTCTTACCAGCCAGCCTTTTACTGCCCCTGCACAAAAATAGATGTTTTTTGGTAATCCGATTATTTCCTTAAAACTAATCTTTAAACTTAATCCAGAAACAAACGAATGGAACACCTGTCTCGATCCCATACCGAGTATCAAATGGCCAGGAGTCCAAGGGGAGACGTACCCCTGATTTATGCCAAAGAAGAAGCCCTACAGGAAGAAAAAACCCAACAACAACGAGAACAACAAATCAGGCTAAACACTTTCTCTGCGACTAAACATCACCATGCCAGTTTCTTTTACGAATTGACTCTATCTTCTCCTGACCACACCACAGCCCCCTTTATCCCTCTTCTCCTCTCTACCTCCACTCCACCCCCTCTACCCCTCCCCTACCCCCTCTACCTCTCCCCTGCCCTGCACACCCACTTCTTCTTACTCCAGGTGTATATAAAACCGGTTATTTCATATCATGCTTATAATTTTCAGAGTGAGCTTGTTTTTCGGTGACTTTTCGAGAAAAGGGAAAGCAAAATGTTGTTGAGCTCTCTGTTTTTGGCTGCTTTGGTTTCATCAAACCAGATAGGAGGTAAAAACTATTTGTTATATTTAGTTCATGCTGTTAGTTCGTACTGTAAAAATGATGGGTATATAATTGCTCAACAATAACTGCAACAGTACTGCATGTAAGAATGGGTGACCTTCAAGGTTTCGGTGATTTAGTTTGTCTGCCCCATTCCTGGCAACTTGTAAATGCACATGGGAATCAAGATCATGATTTTCTTTAATGATTTTCATCCTTTGTATGGTTTGTTCTTCCATGTATTTCTTTTGTATACACTTTACCCTGCCGAATTAATAATGATAATATGATAAAAAGTGGCCTGGTTAATATTCTAAATAAAGTACCCGACCAAGTTATATGCCGAACTCCAGGGCACTGTTTCACAAAGACTAAGATCGACTTTAAGTTGGACTTAACTATCGCAGGTCATTCATGCCACTGTTTGCTCTCACCATTATGATCATTAAATAGTATTTTTTCCTTCAAAAAATGTAAATTTTGTAGATTTGTGACCATGATGTCTACGCTCCTTCAGAGACCAATGTCAGTTAATGGTGAGAGCAAACAGTGGCATGAACAGCCTGCCATAGTTAAGTCTAACTTAAAGTCGATCTTTGTGAAACACCCCCCCCCCCCGTCCAATTAATGGTAAAGGGTTATTGTGATTATTTCCAGTTTGTTATTAATAGATTGTATTGTTGATTTTTTTTTTTTACTGCGAAGAAAGCATCCAGGTTGTTGTATTTATCAGCCAATGTTAACATCAATATTGTAAAGTATATTTCTAATTTTATTTATATTAGAAAAAATACAATGTACAATACTTGGACCTTTCTATTCATATGAGCTCAACATTTTGTTTCCTTCTAAATGCACATTGGGCCAATAAATAAATAAAAACAAAAATAAAATATACAAGAAAGAATGAATTAAATATCAAAAGCACTGATGCGATTAACTTAACATTCTATTTCCTTCAAGTTGTTTAACTTGCTGATAAACCAAGTTGAAAAATGTAGATACAAATCTTGAACATTAGTTAGTTTGTGTCGGTTCTCTTTGCCTCAAGATGGCGTCGCTGACTCTGTAACCTATGGCGACCTTGGGACTTTTGAGTACGGGAATGGCGCGCCGAGCTGCCATCACTTCAGACCAGAAAGTCCTGAAGCCATCGTGATAAGATTCTGGCTTTACACCAAGAACAACAGGAATTCAGGCCAACAACTAGACCGTTCTTCATCCTCGTCGATCACCAGATCGTACTTCTCAGCCGGTCGAGATACGAAGTTTATCATCCATGGGTACACAGACGAGTATACGTCTGGTTGGGCTATGGATATGAAGGACGCCCTCTTGACGGAGGTAGGGACAGTACAAGAAAATTAACAATTTAAGCAATTGGGATTCAGACTAAAAAACAAAAAATGCACCCTTATTTCATTTAGCATTATGACAAATTGTATTTCTTCATGTATGACGTCATTCTCTTCATAAGTTTATCGTGTTTTTCAATTAGGATTTAATATTTGTTTTCATAGGTTTTTATTCATTTCTCTCATAAAGAAAATTGTACATAATTTATAACATTGTATACAAACTAACAAAATAATTTTCACATAGGTCTAAATAAATTTACACATTTACAGATGAAAAATATTCACATAAACAAAATTATATTTTCACATTAAAATAAATAAATTAATTAAATAAATAAATTAAAAAAAAAAAAAAATCGCAAATAAAGTTTGTACTATTTTCTTGACCAGTTTGCTTATAAATCTCTAAAATTTAATAATAGAAACTCTGCGTGTGATTGGACAATGAATAATCTATAGCTGCAGATATAAATGTAAACTAGTTATCATAATTATGCATGTACATGAATATTCATATGTATATCTTCTATTTAGTGTATTATGTTGTTACGTAAATTAATTTGTGTAAAAGTATTTTACAATTCAGTCCTCGAGGTGCGATAAATATATCTGAATATATAAACCACAATTATTGTATTTTACTGTTTTCTCCATTTTTTTAAAATTCATCAGTCAAACACTCGTGAACCCTTTTTCTTAAAACATGTTGAAACGAGGGTATGCTGGTTTTGGGTTTATATCCGTCATTATAAATTGAAAACATTAAGATCCTGTGTTTGTTTCCATGGCTACCGTCCATTAGAATACCAATGTGATCATGGTAGATTGGAAGGAGGGAGCTGGGCGTCTCAACTACGCTCAGAGCCGGGCTAACACACGTGTGGTAGGAAGAGAGCTTGGGAAGCTCATCGAGAAACTCAAGTCGACGACAGGTGCATCGTATGGTAGCATGCATATCATCGGGCACAGTCTGGGAGCTCATACCAGCGGCTATGCTGGCGAGGCAAGGTCGGGCGTAGGCAGAATCTCAGGTGGGCATTCACATTTTCTCAAGATTGATATATAATGGTAATGGTTAGAGTAGGAAAGAAGGAATGGGCAGAGTGTGGTATCCAGAAAAGGATTTGAAGAAAATGACTGGCAGATTAAAAATTTGCTTCGGGAGGCATTGGCTCTGTGTGGAAAAAAAAAGGGAAACTTGCCTAAAAAGAAACAATACGTACAAGAAAGCGAACAAGACGAAAATAAAAAACGAAAGACTAAAGACGATAATCAAATTTACTAGGGGATATAATAGGACAAAATGCCGAACGATAAACGAAGGGTTACCAAATATATACTCCATTTATTTTAACAGAGGACGTATTCCTTATCTCCCCCCCCCCCCCAATAATCATTTATTATTAAGAATGCTCGAGATAAGGGATTGTCCAGTTGCTTCTCCAAACGGAGACTTCCTTCGATGGACTTCCACACCGTTACGGTTCGAGCTTTTGCTTCTAGTGCCCGGATATCCGTCTCTGATCCTTCTCGGTTTGTTTATGACTGATCTGAGGTACTTGAGCTTTCGTGCAATCTCCATATCCTTGTCATCGAGCCATGTACAGTAGTTCCTGACTCGATGCTTCCGACTTTCAACAGATTTGTTTTACTTGATTTTATTTACAAACCAAAAAGTCTGCTCTTGTTATAAGCATAATCCAAACAGTCTGTTCTTGTTATGAATGTATACAAACAGTCTGTTCTTGTTATGAATGTATACAAAACTCAGGTCTAGATTCTTCCGGGCCCTCGTAAAGTTGCTTGGTAAAGTTATATTGTTGTATACCACTTTAGGCATAGACTCGGCAGGGCCAGAGTTCGTATATAGGTCATAAAAATGAATGCAAGCTAGCTCCTTCTGACGCTCATTTACAAGTATGCTGGACGTTTTCATTTCTATGGATATAGAAAGGCGGAGATATTAATAAATAACAGCCTTCCGTATCTACACAAAGGTGTTGAATGATATTATATAATTATATTATTGTTGTGTCTTATTTAGGTCTAGACCCTGCAGGACCCGAGTTCTTTGGTTATGAGAACCAATGCAAGCTAGATTCATCTGATGCATCATTCGTTGATGCTATACACACGGATGGAGGTGCTACCGGTGCAGGTCTGATTGAACAGGTGAACAACAAAATGCTGATGGTGATGGTGATGATAATGAGGATGATGGTGATGATGATTATGATAAGGATGATGATGATGGTAATGATGAGGATGATGATGATGGTAATGATGAGGATGATAATGATGAGGATGAGGATGATGATGAGGATGAGGATGATGATGATGAGGATGATGTTGATGATGATGATAATGAGGATGATGGTGATGATGATTATGATGAGGATGATAATGATGGTAATGATGAGGATGATAATGATGAGGATGAGGATGATAATGATGAGGATGAAGATGATGAGGATGATGAGGATGATGAGGATGATAAGGATGCTGCTGATGATGATGATGATGAGGATGATGAGGATAAGGAGGATGAGGATGGTAATGATGAGGATGATGATGATAATGATGAGAATGATGATGAGAATGATGATGATGAGGATGAGGATGATAATGATAATGATAAGGTTGTTGAAGAGAATGATGAGGATGATGTTGAAGATAATGATGATAATGATAATGATGAGGATGATGTTGATGATGATGATAATGATAATGATGAGGTTGATGATGAGAATGATGATGATGAGGATGATGTTGATGATGATGATAATGATGATAGTAATGATGAGGATGTTGAGGATGATAATGATGGTTATGATGATCATGATAATGATGAGGATGATAATGATGATGATGATGATGATGATGAGGATGATTGTGATGATAATGATGAGGATGATGATGAGAATGATGATGATGAGGATGATGATAATGATAATGATGAGGATGATGTTGATGATGATGATAATGATAATGATGAGGTTAATGATGAGGATGATGAGGATGATAATTAATGATGGTATATTTGCTAGAAGCAGGCGCGTACACAGGGGGGGGGGGGGGGGGTAAGAGGTCACTTTTTTTTTTTTTTTTTTGGTCCCCCAAAAACCGCAACGACTCAGCCGACCGCTGAATAAGCGGGGGGGGGGGGGGGAGTAAGAGGACACTTTTTTTTTTGTCTCAAATTTGAAAAAATTGCCATTTTGCTCCGTTTGGGGGGGGGGGGGGGTAAGGTCAGCTTTTTTAGGTCAGCCATGGGAATATTTTTTTTCTTTTTTTTCAAAGGGGGGGGGGGTTAGGATGGTTATGGGGGGGGGGGGTTTACACAACCCCCCCCCCCTTGTGGACGCGCCTGCTTCTAGCAAATATTTTGCCTCCGCTTTATTTCAAAATATATAGTAGAAGCTATGATCATTCAGGAAATGAAGAAGAAAAAAACTGAAATGTAACCGACCTGACAAGATACATCGTTATTGAGCTCTAACTGAAAATCAAGCCATGCAACTTTGTGGTGCCTAGTCACGATTGGAAGTAAATGTTTTGTAAAGGGTTTCGTTTGTGCGAATTAGTCTTTTAAATTTAATAATGATAATACTGATTCAAACTATTGACTCCTGTCTCCTTTCAGTTGGGCCATCAAGATTTCTACCCAAACGAGGGCATAAGCCAACCAGGCTGCGAGGGAACCTCAGTCATGGAGGCATGCGACCACATGAGGGCGCTAGACCTCTATACAGAGAGTATCACCTCAAGCTGTAACTTCGCTCCTTCCAGGAAATGCAGCAACTGGGCTAGCTATCCAAACTGCCCCAGATGTGGGACCTGCCCCACGATGGGCTACTGGGCAGACAAGAACCGTGGAAGCGGGGCCTACTTTGTGGAGACGAACGGGGCAAGCCCCTTCTGCATGTGATTTCGATTATAGATGACTCCCAATTATACAATACAATTAAATATAAAAAGAAATCCGCATTAAAAAATGGTTAATACCACTTTCTTGTTGTAGCCGTCTGTGTACCCATGGACCTAATTATTTTACACTCTTTCTACACACCCGTTCTCTTTGTCCTTGACTCCTTCACCCCAAACCACTAGTGACTTTTAGATTTGAGTGATACGTGTGACGTCCATTCAAGGCAGTGCATTATTAGGACGTCGATCGTAGCATAGACCTATTGTCTTCGTGCGTATCTAAAAGTCCCTAATGTCTTTGTTCACCCATTACGTGCTTTTAACCCCGCATGTTACCATTGCTCTGTAGTATATCCTTATTGTTTCCGCCTTGCCTTCCGATCTGTTTTTCCTCTCAGCACCCCCTCTCTCTCTCTCTCTCTCTCTCTTTCTCCCTCTCTCTTGTCTCTCTCTTTTTCTCTCCCCCTCTCTCTCTCTCTCTCCCCTCCCTCTATTTCTCTCTCTCCCTCTCTCCCTCTATTTCTCTTTCTCTCTCTTTCTCTCTCTCTCTCTTTCTCTCTCTCTCTCTCTTTCTCTCTATCTCTCTCTTTCACATACACTTCCTCACATTGTCAGCCACCTGTTCTCCTCTCTTCACCTATTTTCTCATTTTTGGTCCGGAATAACATTGAAAAACAATCCTTTTTCATAATTAATAATATGAGAATATTATATATCATTTATTGCTTGTAAAGCCATTCAAATATATTTCATATATGTCTAGAAATATGAAGAGATACACACAATACATACAGTCACGTATCATTCAACAATCTGCTTTGGTTATACCTGATATACAAAACATTTTTAACATTATAATATAAGATTTCATTTCAGAATAGAAAATTTAAAAAGGACGAAAGACCAGCGGAAGAACATTGCATATTCATTGCTTGTAGAAAGACTCACACAAACATTCCACTTAGCAGTAGCAGTAAGGCAGTCATAAAACACACAAATCCACCCTGCTAGCTGGCATCCATGGGCGAAGACAGTGGCGTAGTCTGTATGCAGCTTTCCAATGGGGGAGGGAGGGGGAGGGTCCAGGGGCATTACTATATGGATGGAATATGAACAAAGTAAACGAGGACGTTTAAGTGGTAGTATCATCTTCGTTTCGCGTTTGCTCTGCCCCACTTTCCTGCTCTCTGTTTTTATTTGACCATTCAATTATTGAGGATGGGAAGATTGGGGGGGGGGGGGGGGGCTATAGTTACGCCACGTATCCTGCCCATGACGTCATAATTGCTACTACTTAAAAGAAAAACAATATAAAGGTATGAGAAGAAAAAATCAGATACATTTTAAGGAGGTTCCAATGAATATTAAATCTGGAAGATCAGATTCAAAAAGTATTAAGTCGTATTATTTCCTCGGCGAGGCACTCTCCTTTTTACAGAGATAACAAAAAGAAATACAAATTTAAAACAAAATGATAAAGAGGAATTGAGGAATGAGAGGAAAAACTACATTCAACCCATAACTCAAGCACAGCTTTGTCAAATGCAGAGCCAGGCAACAATATTGTACAACACAATGGTGAGTAACTCGCCAATAATTATAATGCAGTTACCAACTTGAGTTGTGAACCTGAAACGAAATTCTTAAAGGTAAAGACCAGTTATGGTCATGCGATTGCATTGTGAAAGAAACGTTGTGGAATCGATCAGAAAAGGTTGATCATCTAGCATCTGCAAGGTTCTGGAATCATCAAAATGATAAGAAATTTGGCCCATTCTTCGTAAAGTTACAAGCACTATACACAGAAAGATGTATATGGGACCACCCTATATCTCTCACAGACCATGAGAGAAACACATTTACCAAATATATGAATTAGTAGGCGGTTTCCCGGCAAATTTTGTATCATCATGTTTTAGTCAAAAACATATTCTTTCCCATGATTGGTAAAGAGAGCTTCCACTTCATTTTTTGAAATTGGGGCGTTTCCAATACTGGTCTTTACCTTTAAGCCTTGATTCTTAGATAGAAAAAGTCAATGACCTTTTTGTGTCTTTCGTCTGTTTTTAATGACATTAACCTGATGCCAGGGTGGAGGTAATATGATTATCTAATGAATCCCTCATGGAGGGAGTAAATGATAACTATTTGGCTTAAACCATTATAATACCTGGCTCATAAATGTATTTCACGCACATTAGGAAACGACTATAATACTGACGTACAACACATTTAGAATAAGATGCTTTGGAGTAAAATAGGCATATATTCATAAATCATAGCTCCCGAGCAGTTATCAAACAAGTTTAAATGAGGTATAATTTGTATGTAGGCCCATTCGATAAAACTTACTTGCAGAGCCATTGCACCATTTGAAGAGAATCGCTAATAGAGAATGAACATAATATATATACGTCCATAAATCGAGAGAGGGATGACTTACGATAAAGGGACTAAGGAATATTAAAGATGATAATAACAATATTATTCAAATCTTAGATACGAGAGAGACAGAGGGAGAGAGAGAGAGACAGAGACAGAGACAGAGAGAGAGAGAGGGTGAGAGTAGAGGATATAAATACAAACATTAGGCTTTCACCGTTTATCACTTACAATTTTCAAATCAATTACAAAATATACATGATTCCTTTATAATTTAAGATTGGTAAGATCGGAACAGATATGTTTTAAGTCAGTTATGATATGGCATACTGGATAAAAAATGCCCTCAATTTCATGTCACACATATTGAATGCACGTCGTCATTGAATTATAGTTTTGAATGCAAGTTCATAATTTCCCTCCTGCCATTTTATTTCAATCTCGACCTGCGGCCATGTTGAAATAAACACCAATCGAGAAATTTAGAATTTAAAATGTGTCGGTCCATTACGTTAATATTAGACTGCGGAGCTTACAATATAATTGTGATCACATATATAAAGGCAAAGGCAAATCGGGAAACCAAGAATAGGCCTATTCTTCGAATAAAGCGAGTATCACACACAGAGAGACCTATGGTACACAGTCAATGTGTCTAATCAATAACACTGGTCACACAGTGAGTAAAGAGGCCTTACGTTTAATTAATTGCGAGGCAGTGTTTACGAAGAGCATTGGAAAAGTCAACTGCTGTTAATATACATATATGTATATAAAATTATGTTGATACATTTATTTCATTTTTTTTTCATTTGAAAGTTAAGACTAATCATTCAAGGATTCTGAGGATGATTGAGCATTATTATTCAAATATATAGTTATACACAAAGAATAAACTCTAGATTTCAGCTCGGAGTTCGAGAAAATACACAGAAATACAAGAAATAATGATGCTCCAATTTCTTCGTCTACGGAGCATCACCTTTATTGTATTTGTGTATATATTTAAATGAATATATAACAGGTTGACTTTCCCTATGCCTGCCGTACACACCTTTGTACATATTGAACGATGAAGGCTTTATATTCACTGCGCGGTATTCGCTGTTTTCAAACTTTTCGCTTGTAAGACGGTAGTCCGAAGCTGAGTCTGACCAGAGCCATCTATACACAGAGTTTGGCCAACTTGGCTTCACTGGATCACAACATGTCGTATTTTTTGTTTGTTTTCGAACCGGGTTGGCCAAACTATCCTAATCAATGACACTGAGTCTGACTGATAAAGGGCGCCACCTGAGACTTGGACTTAGAGAGGGTCTTCCACCATTTCTACCACTTTGTAATGCCGTCTATTGTATCTCCGCGTTAGGATGAGTATGACGCCAAATACGTGTGCGAGACTGGCCATGCCTCCAATAACAAGAAACACGGTCTCGAAACTCCCGGTGAAGTCGAAGAGGAATCCTGGAATTATTGTTAAAGAGATGAATAAGAAAAATAGAAGAAAAAAATTAGTCTCGAGAAAAAGAAATCACGGAAAATACTACATCCGAATACAATTGTGCCTCTTTCAAAATAACATAACAAACAGCATATTCCAAATAATGTATCTCCCAATAATAGCTTTGCTTCCCCCAAATGGCAACAATTACACGTGACTGTGTAATTTCTTTTTTGGTAATATTCATTTCGAATTGTTCGAAATTACCTCAAAACCTCAGGCGTTCAATTTATCATAACAAAGCAAACTACTGTATAAGAATAAAGACAATATTTCAAAATAATGGTTCGAGAGATAACTTTAAGAGTGAGAGAGACAACTGCAATCGGAGAACAATTAATGTCCTCCCTTAGCGAGACATGTTACGTCAATTAAAACGAGTGACATCTACTGGGGTCTATGAACTGCGATCTCCGGGACTAATAGCAATATTTGGAAGTGGAACTTATATATTGAACGTACCCGAGAATGGCCCAGCGATTAATGTTCCGATTCCTTCCAGGGCAAAGGTGAAGGCGATCGCACCTTGGAAATTATGCGGTGCGACAATGACAGCTACGACGGCATCTACGGCGGTTGATACACCGTAGAGACTAGCACCAATGATGAAGGAACACACTAACAGGTAAGGTAGGTCAGATTGTAAGGTCTGTATTATCAACGTCAATGCGCCAGTAAAACATAGCGTAGCCATTACATGCGGGCTCCATTGAGGGCGCCTGTGAAAGACAATGGCTTGCAGAGCACAGGAAGCTATGCCACCGGCGGCGCCCACGGCAGCAAGGTAGGCAGCCTTGGATGATTCGATGCCAACTGTAATTGCGTAGGACGTCACAAAGAGGACCCAGCCATAGTTGGCTAAAGATGAAAGAATTAGTATTGGTAGCATGAAGAATGTAAAATATTTCTCTTCCCGGAATATCCGGAAGTCAAATGTGTCTTTGACTACTTTCATACAGTCTCTACAGGAGTTGGCACTAGCAGATGACTGTTCCTGATCTAGCGAAGCTTCGTTTTGTGTATTACATTCAGTAAACTGTTCACTAGCGCTATTTGCAACAGGACCACACTCACTGCCTCGGAGATTTCCCGCTATAACAACCTGAACGCTATCTTTAACATCACAATTTCCTTCGTCCAAAGCAGTTCCCACACGTATGATCCGTTTCCTTGGAGGCACTAGCACAGCACCGATGGGGAACTCGTTCAGAAGTAGTCCACCAAGTATAAGAAGGGTCCCGCTGAGTCCGTAGTACCTGTACAGTACGGCTGTTAAGAGAGGTAAGAGGGTAGAACCTGCTGATATTCCGATAAGAGCAAGGGAATTCATGGCGCCAAACCTTCTTCCGAAATGCTGCTGAAGGGTCGTTGTCGTGCCGAGGTTAGAAGCTGCAGAAAAGAACCCTGGAAAATAATAGTGCGAGTTTTCTTTTAAGGCAACTGATTATGGTCTTTAGATATAGTGATATTGATTATCATACAGTGCATCTCACTGTAAGGTAAAGTGGTTTGATATAGACAAGTGAGAGATGCCTATTTTATTTTGAATATGTCTTGTTTTTATTAAAGGTTCAATAACATTTACTAACATTTTAGGTCATTGTAAACAAGCGTGGACATCACACCCGCCATCTTTAGGACGGCTCCATCTGTTGTCAAGAAGGATAAAAAAAAAAGAAAAAGAAGACAGAATCCGAGAAAGGAGAAGAAAAAGTAGTGGTAGAACGAAGAAAGAAAAAGAAATAAGGAAGAAGAAGAGGAAGACGAAAAAGAAGAAGAATATGAAGAAGACAGAAGAATGCATAAATAATAGGAAGGAGAAAGAAAATTAAATTAAGAAGAAGACGGAAGAAAGAGGAAAAAGATGACAGAATAGTGGAAGAAGAAGAATAAGAATAAGAAAATGAATAATAATAATTATGATAAGAAGAATAGTAAGACGAAGAAGATGAAGGAAAAAAGAAGAAGAAGATAAATGGTTACCTGCGGATACGAAGAGAAATCCTGTCAAATAGACTGATTGAGTAAAAGCCGTAGTTAGGATACAAATCCCTGACATAAGCCCGCCAGTGGCAGCCACACGTCTTGTACCTAACCGCTTCATCAATGGATTCATCAGCATACCTGTAAAATGCATTCAAAAGTGACAATTGACATGGTATCAGCAAGGACCGCATTGGAAATAAACTTATTATTACCTGAATGGGTTATCCCTATCTCTTTCATTTCACTATTCGTTAAGCATGTTAAAGATAAAGACCAGTTATGGTCATGCGATTGCATTGTGAAAGAAACGTTGTGGAATCGATCAGAAAAGGTTGATCACCTAGCATCTAGCATCTGCAAGGTTCTGGAATCATCAAAATTATAAGAAATTTGGCCCATTCTTCGTAAAGTTACAAGCACTATACACAGAAAGATGTATATGGGGCTACCCCATATCTCTCACAGACCATGAGAGAAACAAATTTACCAAATATATGAATTAGTAGGCGGTTTCCCGGCAAATTTTGTATCGTCATGTATTAGTCAAAACATATTCTTTCACATGATTGGTAATGAGAGCTTCCATTTCATTTTTTGAAATTGGGGCGTTTCCAATACTGGTCTTTACCTTTAAGTATTTATCTACACATGACAAATCAAATCGCAGCCAAATGGTTGCAAGAAGGTAGATACCGGTTGGAATAACTACTAAATGTTGCTTCCTTGCTTGTTTGTTTTCAGGTATATAGGTAGAGTCCAGACAGGATACGGAAGAAAAACGAAGAAGATAAAAAACAAAATAAATTAAAAATATTTCATTTCGGTTTAACCCCCTCCCCCCACCCCCCCCCCCCCGGCCCCCTTGGGCTGCCAAGTGAAAATGTGATATTAAAGCGGGGGGAGGGGGATTCTGGAGAGGAGGACTACTAATCTATTTTATTTTTTTCAGGGGGCGGGGGGGAAGTGAAGCGCCGTTTTAGCATGACTTTCTTTTTAACTCTTACTTTCACCTATCTCAGATAACCCTAAGTTTTTGGATGCTGCTTTATATGTAGTTGATAATGCATGATTAAAATAAAGAGAGAGAGAGAGAGAGAACCACCATCATTTTGCAATGGTTCAGGGTTCGTGGAATGTACATTTGAAACCATTTCTTAGCGTTTCAACCCTAAAAAAATAGCAAAACTATTTTTGAGGAAAAGCATTATACTGAATTAAATAAAGAATAATAGCTTTATATTGGATCATACTAATACTGATACGGGCTAAAGACAATGTGGTATTTGTATAGAAGTATTCCAAAATGACATTCTGATAATCAACATTTGTTCTGGTATCATATGTATATACGCATAATACAACTGATCTTTATGATTTCTTAACGTGACATAGCTTCTTCTCCCTCTGCAAACAAAACAGAAAACAAGGTTATTTAATAAAAGGACCATGCGACAAATAATCATTGTGATTCAAATTGATGCAAGGATTTTTTTGAATAAGCAATGCTTTTCACCAGAATCTTCTTTGTAAAAACTACTTTTTACAAATCTCAGCCATGCAATTCTGCCACTGTGCTGTAAGATCACTTTGAGATTAGGAGAAGTGTATAATGTAATGGGTATTTTAAATTGAATGGAACGTCTCAACTCAGTAAGCATGGCTGAGATTTGTAAAAGTTGTTTTTACAAAGAAGATTCGGGTGAATAGCAGTGCTTATTTAAACAAATATTCGCATCGATTTGAATCACAATCATTATTTGTCGCTTAATCCCTTTTAATGAACATGTTTTCTTTTTCGTTTGCAAGGGGAGAAGAAGATATGTCACGTTAAAGACATCATAAAGATCAGTGTTGTATGCGTATATATTATATACACAGGCCAGTAACAGCTATGTAGCTTGTAAATTTGTAAGAGGGAAAAAGCTGATTGAAATGATAATGATGAAATAGCAAATAATTGAGGAGTATCATAGGTACCAATTCAATGGATATTTGTATAAAAAAGAGCCCACGTCAGTAATAAAAGAGCCCCCGTGAGAAGGCTCACGGGGGGCTCTTTTTTCGGGGGAAGAGCTCCCGTGGACAAAAAATTAATTTGAGCCCTGCCCTGAACGCTGGCGTACTGATGGGGGGGGGGGAACTGATGTATTTCTAATTCGAAACAAGTGATTTACAAATGTTGATGTTGTGACATGATTTCCCGGCATTTTTTCTTGATTTTTTTTTGTAAGTCATACCTTTTTATGCGTTTGTTGGAAAATAAGAAATCCCCAAATTACAGTCAGGCGAAATACGCTTATTTAGAAGCCTTTATGTCATGGTATGCAAAGTGGCTGGGCTCGAGCCCCCCCCCCCCCCCCCTCCTTTTTGAAAAAGTATGTTAACAGAAAAGAAAGAAAGACGGAGAAAAAAAATAAGTGACCTGCCAATGTCACAAATAAGGTATAAAAAATGCTCATCTGACCGTAATTAAATGCTTAAAACCCCAGAGCTTACGGGGGCTCCGCCCCCCGCCCCCTGGACCCCAACAAGGGCTCTAAGGCGGCCTCATGGATGCTCATCTGACCTTAATTAAATACCTATAACCCTTGAGCTTCCGGGGGCTCTGCCCCCTGGACCCCACCAAGGGCCCTAAGGCGGGCCCCTGGATGCTCATCTCACCGTCATTAAATACCTAATACCCCTGAGCTTCCGGAAGCTCTGCCTCCTGGAACCCCACCAAGGGCCCTAAGGCGGCCCCTGGATGCTCATCTGACCGTAGTTAAATATTAAAACCTCTGAGCTTCTGGGGGCTCTCCCCCCCCCCCTGGAACACGTCAATTGCCTAACTGGATGCTCATCTAACCGTAATTAAATACCTAAAACCCCTGAGCTTCCGGGGCTCAGCCCTTGTATAAAAAAAATGCTCATCTGACCGTAATTAAATGCTTAAAACCCCAGAGCTTACGGGGGCTCCGCCCCCTGGACCCCAACAAGGGCTCTAAGGCGGCCTCATGGATGCTCATCTGATCGTAATTAAATACCTAAAACCCCTGAGCTTCCGGGGGCCCTGCCCCCTGGACCACACCAAGGGCCCTAAGACGGCCCCTGGATGCTCATCTGACCGTAGTTAAATATTAAAACCTCTGAGCTTCTGGGGGCTCTCCCCCCCCCCCCCTGGAACACGTCAATTGCCTAACTGGATGCTCATCTAACCGTAATTAAATACCTAAAACCCCTGAGCTTCCGGGGCTCAGCCCTTGAATCCCTGCCGAGGCTCATGCCCTGGACCCCACGCCAATTTACGCTCTACCTGATCGATAATACTCCACTTTGAAAAACGTTCCGCGGGAACTGCATGTAACGTGTAAGACTGGTGGTGATGCAGATTTTTCGTCTGCCCCCCCCCCCCTTCCGAACTTTTTTCTCATTACGTCACTGCCCCTGGAATGTGAGCCCCCTGGAATGTTTGCCCCCCCCCCCCCCCCCTCCCCCAATCCCAAACTGCTTCCGGCGCTCCTGTTCCGGTCGCTACTTCTTTATGATTCCGATTTGCAGACGAAAGCAACTTTGCACGCAAGTAAAGTTTCCAAACTTACCATTAACTAGAAGCCTCTCAATATGATTAGTTCTACTTTTACTTCTAGGCCTACTTGAATATTAATGGCAATGCTTCCCCCTCATGTATTAGTTCCGCCAAATATGCGGTGGTTGGCCTCTGTGCCATTAGGGGAGGAGATTCAATCCAAAATGCTGATCGTATATACATGCAATTTATGCAAACTAGACATTTGTCCACATCTTTGATTTGTCTAAACTTTTAGTACGTTGTTGTGGGAGCTATTCATAAGTATATGCAGTTAAAATGGACGTTTTAGAGTTTCTTTTGGGTCATTTTATAGTTGGACTGGACTAGTTTGTCATTATGTTCTTGCACGTGTTTTACTCTGTGTTTACCCATATGTTTTGTAAAATGTGCAAGAAAACCGCCAAACCGACTCATAGCCGACCAATGTTCATTTTTCGCTATTGGCTTTTAAAAATGTTTTGTTAATTATCATTATTATTGCTATCATTATCATGTTTAATGTAATAGAGTATTAAACGTATAAACAGGTAGATCAAGTACTTACATGCTAGTTGTGTAAATGCAGCATTGAGTGAGAGGATAAGCCCGATGGTTGTGTAATTGGTGCCCAGGTACACAGTCAAAGCTGGGACTAGGACACCGAAACTCTTGAGAATTCCTTTCCGGAAAAAGGCATCAAAGAACCTTCCTAGTAGGACGATGTGATGGCGACCTATCGCCATTTTGATTACGTCACGGCAGCTCTGGATGGGGAATATTATTGTTCAGGAAAATACATGGAGGTTAGTATGGATTTGGGTGATTTCCTCTTCTTATTTGTCCTTGTTACCCTTCTCTTTTAATCATTATCCTCCTCTTTTTCTACTTTTAATTAATTTTTCTTCTTCTTCTTCATTTATTTTACCTCCTCCTTTACTTCACCTTCTCCATAATCTTCTTCTTCCCCTTCTTCTACTAATCTTACTCCTAAGAGAATAAGATTATATCCAATAAATTCACTTCCAATCTCTTTCCTTTCTATATTGTACTTGTAGGGGAAGTTAAATTACATGCCCCTATCCCTCGCTCAACATTAAAACCAAAGAGGACAAAAACAAATTACACTAATTAAGGAATTTATTGTCAAATTACTCTTTAAACCTCATAAATCATACACATTTCCTAAAAAAAAAATTAAAAAACGTCGAACGTTTGAAAGAGGTGGTGGAATGTCATCAAGAAATTTTCTTGGATGCTCCACCCCCCCCCCCCCCCCCATCCCTTCCCTTTGAGGCTTGGTGTAGAATCATTTGATCTACAATGATCGATGGGACCAAACCCTTGTTCATAGACGGAAGTCGTTCGGTATCGATCCCCCTAAAACAGCAGACTTTAATTTGGTAATCCCATTACTATCCAGAAGGAAAAACAAAAATCGATTTCTCAACATCCGTTGAATAAGTTTGTCTAACTTTTAAGAATTAGACCACTGCACACTCAGACCGAAACTTGACCTCAGCAAATTGTGTTGACATAGATTTTGAAACAAAGCTTTTGAAACACGTGGGAACGACCCAAACAGTTTGACAATGTGATTATTTTTCTTCAGCCATCGGCTAAACTTTCTAAAATAACTCACTCAGACACATAAGAATTTTTGAACAAATCACCAAATACCAACCTTGCTGCGTTAAATATTTTCGATATTTTTGTATACAAAAGCGAAATAAGCAATTAATACTAGATGTTATACTAGGTCAAATACAGGGCATATTCCTTCCCACCGCACGAGGTGTATAGAGTGCATTCTCAATCGTTAATGACGTTTGTATACTAGGGCGCGTTCATGCTTGATTTTGAAGGCAGAATGAGCGATTTGTAACGCTCATCGTAAACGCTCATCGTAATCGCAGTTCCACGGTGCACTGTTCATGCTCACTTCTCCAGGCGTTTACAAATTGTAAACGCATCTTTTTGTGAGTTTACGATAGGCGATCGTGATCGCCGTTTTTCGGTGATTCTACAAAAGTGAGCATGAACGCAATCGTGTTTTAAACTAAACGCGTAACAGATGCCTGATTCTGGCCGTCAAAATCAAGCATGAACGCGCCCTAAGGCCTGCCTCTGACGCACCATGTGAGAGTCAAAACGTGAATATAATTAACAATACGACTTGCATTAAATCTCCTTTATAGGCTTTATTAGCGCAGGTGATACGTAATCCCAATGACGTTTAATGTGCAATAGGCATTTAGGGTCAGACCCTATGACTAATGCCTGTTGTACAGTCTGACGTAAGGCTGCGTCAGTGGCTCGTTTCTTTTGACGCACCATGGAAATATGCACCCCGCGACCGTGATATCGTACAGTACACACAGTGTTTGAAACAGCGGAAAATGCATAGCATTTAATTACTGGCACATGGGACGAATCACCTTCGCACAACTGATTAGCGCAGGGGAATAATGCAGTGGAAAGATCCCTTCCGTTTGCAACAGACCGTTTACAAGCACGTAACAGGGTTCTATATGGGAAAGTTAAAGATAAAGGTGACTTCTGGTTAAAAAAAGAAAAGAAAATGAATTCTCACAGAATCAAACGAAACTTACACTGAATGTTCAAGATTGCAAATAAATGTAATTTGCCAAACAGTTTTGGTAGAAAATGTATGCTGGCTGAGTAATGAGCATAGAAAGATTAGGAAATCAAGGTTAGTAGCCCCGACACCATTTGTGTAGTCCCATATACATCTTTCTGTGTACAGTGCTTGTTACTTTACCAAGACTGGGCCAAATTTATTATGATTTTGATGACTCCAGAACCTTGCAGTACACACCAATACTTACATGATACATGATCAACTTTTTCTGATCCATTCCACACCTTTTGTTTCACAATGCAATCGGATGACCAGAACTCACCTTTATCGTTAACGCTATGTCATTCACTAACATGAACTCGCTGCACATGCGAAAGCCAGGCCCTGCATTATGAGACCTATCGATGGTGGGACAACACTCATTTCGCTTACAAAACTCTCCCCTTCAAGAGCAGGAATCTTAGGGCAATTAATGAAATAACAATAACAACTAGAAATGCAATCGTGTCACAACGATGTGCGTGCAATGACGCCATATTTATACGTGTCAAACGATAGAGCTTCTCTCGGACTATCCAGAGCAATTTGTACGAAGTCTGTAGCTTCTGTGATATTGGAGATAGGTAGGGCGAAAGAAAGGCCTGAACAGTGACCTTGATGGGATGGTAGTGACTATGGGCGCGTTCATGCTTGATTTTGACGGCCAGAATCAGGCATCTGTTACGCGTTTAGTTTAAAACACGGTTGCGTCTTAGCTCACTTTTGTAGAATCACCGAAAAACGGCGATCACGATCGCCGATCGTAAACTCACAAAAAGATGCGTTTACAATTTGTAAACGCGTTTAAATGGGGTCAACGCACTGACCTCTAGTGGGTCTACGTAGCATGCACAGTGAAGGTTTGCGAATCCAGCTGGAAGACCAATTAAGGCCACACACTGAGAATTGCCTGGGGGAGCCAGAGAAGTAAGCATGAACAGAACATCGTGGAACTGCGATCACGATGAGCGTTTACGATGAGCGTTTCAGATCGCTCATTCTGCCTTCAAAACTTAAGCATGAACGCAGCCTATGCCTACAAAGTTTGAAAGAAATTGGGATAGGGGAAGAACCTAGAAACTGCTCGCAAGCACTGCGTGCAAAAACCAATGGGATTTGGTCCCGGCCCCCCCCCCCCCCCCCAATCAGTGTTATTTAGGGTACGCATATGCGTGTTCCAACCGACCCCCCCTTTTCAGCAAAAGTCCGGTGTGTAAAGTCAATACGGCTCGACCTTTTTCTTTTGTATACGAGCCTTTTTCAGCACCCCCCCCCCCCCTTTTCAGCAAAAGTCCGGTGTGTAAAGTCAATACGGGTCGACCTTTTTCTTTTGTTACGAAAAGGACATTTTGGCAACAAGCATGCGGTCATTTCGGAACCTAAGTGGGGGGGCCGGGGATTTGGTGCATGTTCGTCATTGCAATGACGACCTTCGTCATTGCCTTGTTTTCGTTCACATTCTGCCCCATTAATATACTTATCCTTGTTGCAATGACGACCTTCGTCATTGCCTTGTTTTCGTTCACATTCTGCCCCATTAATATTTTCCTTTTCCTTGTTTTCCTTATCGTCCAGAAATCCCATTCGTTTTGCACGTAGTGTTTGTTATTCCTAGTTAGGTGCTTTCCTCATGTCCTTTTCCTTTCAAATGTCATAGGCATAGTCTCTAACATCTCATCAAGGTCACTACATTCTTCGATTTTGGAAATCACTCATGCATGACCGTCCAGGCGCCATTTTGTCCGTTTCTGGTCCATTTTAAGGCCTTTCTTTCTTCCTTCCTCTCTCCACTATCCTAGATCCTACAAACTTCTAACAAATTCCTCTAGATAGTCTAAGAGATGTTCTTTTATCTGCGACGGATGACTTGACCTTCAAAATGCCATCTTCATACTCGAAATTCAAATCTAAAACCGACTCCGTCAAAAATCTCTCAAGTTCTTGAAAAATGGACCCCTAAATAATCTAAAACTGCCATAACTTTCTCATATAAATTCCGTTTTGTATTTAAATCTCACAGTATCTTTATCTCATAATTGCACATAGGCATGCTAAATTTCGCGCTCCAATGGCTTTGCACAACATAAATAGCGCCCTCTAAAGTTCTGGGAATTGGCTTTCTGTCTGTGGCCGTATCTCCATAATGGCTTGGCAAACCCGTACCCTTTTTTGGATTTAGATACTTGAAGATATGCCCTTTCCAGCCATATACAAAATTATATACCCTATCACTGACCAAATTTGAGAAAATTGCCCTCCAAATTCGCCATTTTCAAGAAAATTGAGAAATAACTTCAACTTGCTCTAAAATGGCGATCGTTATACCTACATCAATGAAACTTTGCAGACATATGTATCCATATACGTGACAACTGTTTACCAAGTTTGGTAAAATTCGAATATGTCAGCGCAAAGTTATCGCCAAAAATGATGAATTTACTATGGATTACGTAATAGACCGTTCAATGCGCGCAATACATTGCGCGCAGTTAACAATGGTGTCAAACTGACCGCAATGAAGTGCCCTTTCGGATGATACCAAGTATTATATATGTTCACACAGAAAATTGTGAGTAAATCGCATTTGAACAAAGATCACTACACGAATTCCGCCGAGTTTCCGCCCGAACCTAACACGTTTCGGCTATGACGTCATTTTTTCAGACTGCTTTTCGCCCCTTAAACGTCCTTTTTTTTCCTTGAAAATTTGCAGTGACATGCCGAGTTCCAATACGCAGGGCACCACTTGGCCGGATTTTTGAAATTGGTCAGGGGGGCCATTTAAGACGCCATTTTGTCCTATACATCTATTTTACATCACGTGTTTCGATAGGATTATCATAGAAAAAAAGAGAGTGGTTTACAATAACAACCATGAAATTCTCTTTCTAATGATACCAAATACGGCCCATAAAGAGACGTAAAGAGAGAGAGAAAAAACAATTTAACTCCGGCCATAATACAGATCCTGCACGTTTTCCGCCCATTCATTACACGCATTGTCTATGGGGCATATCGGGTTCACGCTTTTGGCCCCCAGAACGAACTTGATTGCAATGTCAAACATGCACCAAATCCCATTGGTTTGTGCACGCAGTGCTTGCGAGCCCTTTCTAGGTTCTTTCC